TGCCATCATGCCACTTTAATATTAAAATTACCTTGCATTCCTGAAAAACATACTGACTAGATCTGCTTTGAGTTTAAAAGAGCAGCTAATGTCACCTCAAGAACTGTTCTGTAATTTTAAATTTGTATTTTGATATTGTTTTCTTTCTTTTGTTCTTTATTCTTCTTCTCGACTCTGTACACCCCACAAACTATGTGCAGGTTAATGAAACAGAAATGCTTCTAGAGAAGATAAGTGGGGAATCTAGACTTTGCCATGCTGGTGAATAGACATCAGAATAAAAAGTGGTTCTTCATATCTGTGTCTAGCATGCTTGCCTCCAGGGAAGGATAGGAAGATAGTAATGAGACTCTGCATGATAAAACAATGTGGCTTTTCGGTCAGAGCCACTATGGATACCAACATTGTCTCAAGCACAGTGGAGAGGCTGTTGCTATTGTGTTGTAGTAGTAAAGGTTTTTAAATTCTTTTGTTTCCTGCTTGACACTTAATCTTCTGGTTTTATAATCAGTATTGTCTTTGTATAAGAAATGTTTGACAAGTCTTAGAATGTAACAATAATGGTTGTTGTTGTTATGTGCTGTTGAGTTGCTTGTGACTCATAGCGACCCTATGTACAACAGCCCTAAACTCTGTTCTGTCCTGTGCCAATCTCACTATCTCTGACAAACTCATCCTGATTACCCCAGTCACTGAATCAATCCACCTCATAGAGGGAGGGCCTTCCCCTCCTGTGCTGTCCCTCCACCCTACCAAGCATGATGTCCTTCTCCAAGGACCGGTCTCTCCTTACAACATGTCCAAAGTATGTCAGATGGAGCCTCACAATCCTTGCCTCCAAGGAGCCACCCGGTTTAACCCTTTCCAGGACAAATCTCTTTGTTTTCCTAGCAGTCCATGGTATTCTCACCAGCACCACAGCTCAAAGGCATCAATTCTCCTTCTATCCTCCTTGGTCATTGTCCAACTCTCTGATGCATAACAAGTGATTGCGAAGACCATGGCCTGTATTAGACACACCATATTCTCCAGAGAGACACCATTGCTCTTCAGTACTTTGGAGAGGTCCCTAACAGCAGATTTTCCCATGGCAATACTCTTTTTAATTTCCTGGCTACTGGTGCCAAGACTGTTGACTGTGGAGCCAAGCAAACTAAAGTTGTGAACAATCTCAATCTTGTCATCATCCATCCTGATGCTGCCAATTGGTCCAGTGGTGAGAATCTTTGTCTTCTTGACATTGAGCCTCAATCCATACTTGAGGCTGCAGTCCTTGACCCTCTGCAGCAAGCACTTCTGATCCTCCTCAGTTTCAGCAAGCAAGGTTGTGTCATCCGCATAACGCAGATTGTTGATAGATCTTCCACCAATCTTGACCCCACACTTCTCCTCATAGAGCCCAGCCTCCAGGATAATCTGTTCTGAATACAGGTTCAATAATGGTTAGGTAATGTCACCTCCCACTGGCTTTCTTGAGAAAGAAATCCGATTCTGTGTGTAGCTGCATCTCCTGTCCTTATCACAACAAAAGCATGAAGGAGACTCACAACCTGCGATTCATGTTCTGTTGGTTCTTCTCTTGTGCACAGGCAGTATGAGTGACCACGGTGCTTTGAGTTCTGGCACACTCCCCGTGGTAAGGAAACAGAGATGCCAAGTCATGTCAGAGTTTGCCCAGTTGAGCTTGAACTACAAAAATATCTAGGTTTCCTTCTCTTTTCAATGTCCACTTCTTCCTTGGTTCCCTTTCCACTTCCAATTGAAGCCTACAGATGGGTTAGCCTTCTTTCCTTTTCCATGGGAAAACATATTTTGCTCCAGGGCAAAGCAAAATTGGGATAAACTGCAGGTGTGAGGCTGCTTGCCAAGTAACAGCTTGGATGAATGCAGACGTTGAGGCAAAAGTCCCTCAAATAGAGGAACAGGGTTTTGCATGGCACTGCACTTCATAAAGCTCTTTAAATAGGTTCTCTCACTGAGTCTTACACTAGCTTTCAATGTAATGTAATGTAATGTAATGTAATGTAATGTAATGTAATGTAATGTAATTTGCCCCTTTTTATAAGACAAAAATTGAGCTGCAATGAAGCCAAGTTCCTTGCTTACAATATGGTGATTAAGAATCTCTTGTCATTTTCTCACTTTATTGTACTCTACAGACCTCTTAAACTCACATATTAGAATAACAGAAATGAATCTGAAGAAATGCAAACTCACTCAAATTGGAGCTTTTGAGAAATTAAAGTGGGTCAAAAAGTGAGAGACAGGAATTAAGTCCACAATAGTAGGACTAAGCTCTTTTTTTTTTTTTACTAAGCTCATTTTTGTGAGCTGACACTTTTACTTTCTGAGGTGTGAGTCATCAAACTTGTTGAAAATAGTCCTTTGAAGATATTTTGCTGGTTCCTCATGTGCAGATGGAAGTGACTTCAGGTTCCTTATTAGGCCATTTCAAACAGAACCCTGCCTGACCCGACTCCTGAAATTTTCCAGCCTCGGCTCTCATGTCCTTCCTTGTATGCTCCCACTTTCCCAGACCCCTTCAAAGCCCAGCTCTTCACACATGTGCCTCCATCTGCTTGGATGCTCACCTCCTCATGCTCTCAATGGGCTACTAGTCATCTTTTGGGTATTAGCCCCCATGGGCTTTCCACAGCTTGACAGTCTCAATTCAGCACCCTTTGTATGTATTAACTAGCATGTTAATTACACCCAAAGGTACTTGCTTACACTCTAATACTTTGCCACTCAAAGTGTGCTGAAAGATCTGCATCAAACATGCAAGCATCTGGAGTCTGCTAAAAACCAGTACTTTAGGTCTCATCCTAGGCCAACTAAATAAAAATGTGCACTTTTAACATGATCCAGACAATTTACATATACTTAAAAGGTTGAGAGCACTCAGTTCGTAGGCCAAGGGTCAGCAGACTATGGCCTAAGGACCAGACTGTTTGTGTAAATAGCATTTTATTGGAACATAGTCCTGCTCATTTGTCTATGGCTGCTTTCACACTACAATGAACTGAGTTGCAACTGAGATTATATGGCTGCAAAATAAGCAGTTTTGCTCTAAAATATTTATCATCTAGACCTTTACAGAAAAAAATTAACTCTTATACTCGGCTATATCATTAAACCATTGAATCAGTTCTGATTCCTGGTTGGCCACTGCGTGTCCGAGGAGAGCTGGGTTTTCAAAGGATTTTTTTGGGGGGAAGTAGATCACTAGATCTCCTGAGATGCCTCTCATGCCAACTTCCAAATTAGCTTTGTAGCCAAGGACTATCCTATGTTATGAAAAGCAAATCTCTGTTCTTCCTTTACTCTGTAACCTAGAAAGGCAGTTTTGTGATCATGTATGTACTTGGAGGTGGATTCGATGCAAGGCTTGGTCACTTCTTGACAGTTACTGCCAACCCATGCGTCATACTCCCTGTCTCGAAAGTGAGGTTGTAGACTAGATAGTGCTAAATCACTGTATCATCAGGTCTCCTTAATAACAAATTAAAAAAACCCACTACCCCTGAGTCAATTTCTACTTATAGCAAACCCACCACTGGGTTTCCAAGGCCATCCAGCTTTGAGGAGACCACTCATCTTTCTCCTTTGAATTTACTGGTAGGTTCAAACTACCAATCTTTTGGTCGACAGCCCAAAATGTTGTACACTAATAGTTTGTTTAGCAGCCCAATAAGTTACCCACTTCCACAGGGACACAGTTGATGGTTAAGAGTCATTAGAGAGGGAAAATAAGGGTAAAAAGATGGCACAGGTTGTTTCTACATACCAGTTTGTGTACTCGTCCCTACTTTAGACTTAAGGGAACCTTGACTCTTATTCCAACCAGACTCCATTCTCATCAGTATACCTCCATGACCCTCCTCCAAATGGAGAGTCTCAAACATTCAGTGCAAGCAAGGTGCAGACAAACAGAGCAAAACTGGAGGACTGAGGGGATGGCAGAGGTCTTCTTATGTTGAACTTTAACCTTTGGCACTTCTTCCATGACTTACTACTCCTCCAACAATTCATCCCAATTGTTCCATCTTTCTAACAGACAGTGCATTTTCTGACTGACTGACTCAACATTGTTGCCTTCTGTGGTGACCCTGCCAGGTTACTACATCTTTAAGGAGTAAGGCACTAAAAGATTTCTGTGGCTCACTACTTATTGCCTATTTGCCCATATTACCTGTGTAGAGTCCAAGTTGCCTGCTTGTGGAGATAGACCACCTCATTCTCCTTGGCCTCCATCTCTCTGTGCATTCTTAGTTATGAGGCTACTTTACAGAAGGACTACGGTTGAATTTGCAACTCACATACAATTTTGTTGAAGGAAGATAAAGGTTCATGGGCAAAAATGCAACTGGTCAAGGAAAGGAAATAAATAAATCCTGCAGTGCTAGTCCTTTTAAGCCAGGATATGAAGGGTGGATGGTTTCACCAGAAGCCTGGGCAGGCTGCTTTATAGCTCTGAGGACAGGAAAGTGTAACTACCAGGGAAGCAGCCTGCATGTCATCCTTCAAGGGCTGTTGTGTTTGTGCCTTGAGAAAATCCTTTTCTCCTGGAATTGTTGGGAAATTAGGTAAGACCCAGAGGTCTAGCCTTCAAGAATCATCTGGGTGGGAACAGAGAGCTCAGAGATTGTCTTTTCCTCATTGAAAATCTGGTCATTGTTTCCTTTTTATTTTCCAGCTCTGTCTGCAAGGTATATCAGTCATATAAGTGCATGGATCAGACTGTAGACAGATAATGATTTTGTGGAGCTTTCTTTTTGAAAGGATTCTGGATATATTCACCAGCAACAAATCAAACATCACAGGAAAGTTATAGAAAAGAGTATGCATGTAATTAGCCTACAGATTCCATCTGCTCCTGCTACAATAGAAGAGGAATAGGAAAAAACTGTGACACTGGAACTCAAGGCTTTCTGAGCGGTAGCCTAGTCTCACAGGTGGCTTGAAAACTCCCCTTCCTCAGCCTTCAACAAGTGCATGGCCTATACTTGAGGGGAGACAATCATCCTTTTGGGGATGCCTGGAGTGTCTGAGGCTGAAGTGGCTGTGGTAGACTCCTCAACTCTGAGATCCAAGAATTCCAGGATGATATCCCAAAGGCAGTAAATCAAATGTCTGAAACAAATGGACAAACGAGTTAGAGAGATTTCCTCAGTCAAGAGACACTGGATCCTGTTAATAACATTTACTTTCCCTACTTCCCTCATTCACTGCTGATGCCCTTGGTGGACCCTAAAATGCAATCAGTAGGTGAAGCTTCTACTAAGATGCAAATGTTTGCTGAATTACTAACAATTACAGCTCTAGAAACAGTACTTGAAATAAGATATTAGGAAATTCCATTTCACACTCATATTAGTGTATCACTACTGTTGAAGAAGTGTGAGGAAAATATTCCTATTAAATTAGTTTACCAGGAATTATTAGAGATTTGTACATAGTCAGTCACTACAGATTATGGGTTAGCGTCAGTGAGGAAAAGCCTCAGGCTCTAGAAAAGTAAGAGTTAACAGATATAGTTTACTTTGGGAGAAGATTTGAGAAAGTGGAAGACTTATTCAAAATATTCCAGAAGTAGTTGTTCCTAAGATACCAGAGAATAATATCTCCTGGATTATTTTAGATTTCACCCAGCCTTTGTTGGTCCCTTTATCAGATTCTAACCTCATTATCTCATTTACCTCACAACAGGCAGATCAAGCGCTATTTGCCCTAATTATCATTTAAGGAACTCTTGTGGCATAGTCTATAAAGACTTATGCTTCTAACCCAAAGGACAAGCTACCCTGTGGTTCAAATCCACCTGTAGCTTTCTAGCAAAAAGATGGCAATCTTCTCACACACAATTCATAGCCTCAGAAATGCAGTGGAGGATCAGCTATACGTTAGTTCTGATTCAACAACAGTAAGAGAGAGAGAATTATGGTTTGGCTTGTAAGGATATAAAACTACAATGAAAAGAATTATGGCATGCAGTATACTGTGTTCACAGGAGCTAGAAGATGTAAAGTACCCCAAGAATCCAAGAACAATTAAAACAGACTTTCAAGGGGGGAAAAAAAAGAGGAACAAACTGGGGGGGAGGGTAGAGAAAATAGTGCAACAATGAATGAATAGAAACCCAAAATCTCTGTAAATGTTCATTAAAATTAATAAAATTTAATAATAATAATAATAAAAAGAATCCAAGAAAATTTTGAGTAACTCACGTGAGGGCATATACTGAGTTCTTGCAAAATCAAACACTTGCTTGTCCAGTAATAACTGATTACCTCATGATAACCTGTCCAAAGGCTCATAGTATGGATTTTCCCTCAAGTATACAGATTAAGCATCAATTTCTGTAGTAAGGGCCTTGGGTAACTAAAGGAGACCATCCCACTAGACTGGATGTGGCTGTCTCACTTATAAACCTTGGACACCCCTGAAATAGGAGATGGTTTTGCTAAACTGATGCTGCAATCACTTTTTTTTAAATTAATTTCTTTATTTTTCATTTCAATGAACATCTACAGAGATTTTGGAATTCCATTCATTCATTGTTGCACCCTTCTCCCTGTCCACGTCCACCCCCGTTTGCTCCTCTCCTTCAAAAGCAAAAGAAAAACTCCCTCATTGGTACGCAATCCCCCCCCAACCCCAAATATAATTCACTCTGCAACCCTCATTCGATAAACATAATGCCCTAAAATATAAAATATTCTCTCCCCAAAGACTTCAATGCCGTAAACATATTTAATCCAGTTTTTCTCAGTCTTACCCCCATCCTGATGTCAGCCTCATTCTACAACAGTGGCACCATACCTGTTGATAAGAGGTTGCTGTAGTGACTCCAAGACTAGACTCCAGCTCATTCGGCATTTATTCACTCCCAGAATGTCTATTAAAATATCTAATGAGGAAGAACAGACAGAATTTTAGTGTTACTGTCTAAGCCTTAGATTCTAAGGAGACAATATCCTTAAGGATATCTGAGCCTCTGCCAGCTCCCAGAGTATGCCAACTTTATACAATTTGGGTATTTCTGGCACATTTCTGAACACCATAGACAACTACTATCTTCATAAAATGCAGAAAAACTAAGAAAAGTATTCTAAAGTTCAGTATCCAAGTAAGAATGAACCTCAAGAAATATCTGCCATCTGTCACTATAATGCCTCTCCTTGTCCTGAGAATAGAGGTTAAGAGTGAAAACTAAAACGACAAACTGAAAATTGATGTCCAGGCTGAAGGTCCACTATTTTTTCCCCCATGGTTACCATATCTTTCTTTGCCTGTTCAAAAAACCCCACATAATCCAGAAATAAAACCTTGTCAGGCTTTGTATTTATCTATTGCTAAAGCCTAGAGACCTTACTCAATGCAACAACTTATTAAGTTTCTGCTTCTGCAGGACATATAATTTTCTTTCCTGGTCCTAAAATGTCATGGTTGTCATGGAAACTAAAGTCTTCATCTGATGGGAATGGCTCTGAGAGGTGTCACAGGCACAGCTTCCTCACTCCTCTCAAAAGTTATTTGCTCAAAGATCTGCAGGAATATTCTTTATTTGCAATCTGGTTATAGTGAGTCTTTTCACTGTCTTAGTATCACATGAGTGAAAGATCCCTGGCCTGATAATTTTCCCATAAACACAAGAAATAGTAGGTATATAAGCATTGAATCTGGACCTCATTCAAGGGGAATGACATGGGGTAGAAGAAAGGGATGGTAAAGGAACAGGTCTCAGTGCATGGCATGCAGTTTCAGTGGTCCAATCACCTGGCAGGACTCCCATTAGGCTCTGCAGAGCCTGTTTTTCAGCAGTCAGCTTTTGCTCTTGGGTCCTTTCAGGCCGAGGTAACTCAGGCAAATATCCCCCAGGCCAGATGGACTCCCGGAGAAGCCGGAGATACTGTACCCAGTGCTGTGGACATGTCAGATTAGTCACCTGTACTTCTAGCCACCTGTGTGGGAAGAAAGAAGAAAGCTCACAAAGATCTAAAGGACAAGGGCATGGAAAGACACAAGCAATCAGGGCAGGGAAAGCAAAGCTAGCACATATATCTTCATAATTAAAGCTAAGCTAATATAAGAATTTATATTATCTATAATTATATATTTCTATATTATATATATCATATTATTATTAATTATATTATTCCTATTATCAAATGCTATAGCATTTGAAGATTAATGACAACAATACTGTTACCTGTTCAATGTCCACTGTGAACCACATAGAGTTTTAAAGAACTCCAAAAGGTCTCTATGCTAACTCCTGTCTCTGGGTGAGGTTACATTCAGTCCTTTTCAGCCCCCCTCAAGCTGGAAACATTCAACCTCTGTAGAAGCCTATAAGTACAGCCTTTACTGTTAAGAGCTGATAACTATAAACAAATCCCCCTCTTGCACCACTCTAACCATATCCCATTGTCTTGAAGTCCCTATGCCTTGCACTGAGGCTTTCCAATGTCTTTCTTTTGTTCTCAGCTCCCCTCTTGCTGGCAAAGTTTAAGCTAACTTTCTTCTTAAAATGCTTCCAGATCATTTTGGCTAAAGTGGTCTTCCACCCCCTTAAACTCCTCTAGAAATTACTCTATATCACTTATGAGGATGAATATTTTGCTTTAACTGTTTTCTGTTTCTTTTCTTTGCTTAACTGTTTTGTTAAACTGCTTTCTCCTATGTTTACAGCTTACTTTTCTAACTAAATCCTAAGGTCCACAAGAGTAAGAACCATGGTTTTTATTTTGTTGGTTAACTGGCAGTTGTTCTTATTACAATGATATTTCCTCTTTTTTGTCTTACTTTCAAAAATGTGTCATTAACTCAGTGGAAACCGATGCATCAGTCCAGAGGTTCTAGATGATACCCAAGTTTCAATGTTATTTTTTATTTGTCCCTGCATATTTTTCCAAGTGACATGGTCATGAATGTCAAGGTTGCTAAGGCTTCCTTTGTAATACACGTGGGTGACATGACATGTAGGACGTGAGTGGAACACCTGGTCAGCCAAATCTACTCATGCACAGAGGACTCCATTTGGTGCCACGACACATGGTGGCTCATGCTGTCCTCCAAGTTATTGTTCCTCATCCAAGAGCTGAAGGGGCTGCCAAAGCAAACTTTATTTAACCTCCACCGTGCCAGACAGTCTACATTCCACTCAAGCTGGGCATTCCTACCCTGGAGGCTACAATCCCCCAAGCTCACAAATGATTCTAAGAATAGGAAGCCTGAAAGGTAATAGCAGGGCAAGAATGGCAGACACTGATGGAGATCAAGGGCGGCATGAAGCTGTTCTTGCTTGAAATAGCTATCACAATCATATCTACTATTATTGGGGCTGCATCATCTTTTTATAGGGCTTTCATTCAGTGAACTTAAGATGCCTGATGAAAGGGATTCAGTAGCAAGAATTCCTATTCCTGTTTATAGAAGAAGGCTACTAAAGGCAGGGGACACAATCTGCAGAGAATCAAATGACCCGATGCTCTTAATCTAAGAGCTCCCTTTTCATCTCTAGACACACCTGGCTTCCCTCCTTCCCGAGTTTTGCTGAGACCAATGATGATCCTCCAAGAGGCTAGTGTATGGCAAAAAAGGAATTTATTTATACATACATACATACATACATACATACATATACATATGTGTGTGTGTGTGTGTATGTATATATATATATATGAAAGCTGGGGAGAAGAACTGAAGTATAATGAAAAAGTATATTCTTTCTCATTGTGAAAGGATCAGTGGATCAGTGAATGAAGCAAAGGTACTGAAGCTGAGCAAAATTAACTGACTAGAGGACTCAAGTCTCCATGTAAAACAGCAATTGTTGATAAAGCAAAGTTGCTGCTAATCATCATAAATTCTAAGGCATAGAACTGATCAACATTAGGCCCTCAGACAGGCCTAATGTAAGAAACAAGACTTGCACACACTGGCAGAAATAAAGCAAGCTTCATATCTAAAAAGAACCAAGTTTAAAATGTGACTTCTATTAATGGATGTTGCAACGTTTCAGTTGCCCTTATTCTTTTTCATACCCTTGAGATAAGAGACATCAAAAATATCTTGCACTACACATAATCTTAAATTTCATTCCCATTTTAGGATTCCCCTTTGCCCAGGTTCTTCCCTTAAGAAAAAACAGACTCTCTCCTACATATTTTGCTTGAGACTGGTACTGTTTCCTAACTCTGAAGTCTGTGGGGAAAGTCAAGTTCTTCAAATCTTTATTGCCCATAGAACTTCGGTGGTATGCTACTTGACTAAAATGATGAACACTCCTACCAGGAAGGAGGCAACAACAAAGTCAAAACCAAGAAAATCTCTACCATCACCACTCACTTGTTCACTGTTTATGAACCAGACTGGTTCATCTCTGATCCTTAAGTATGTTTTAAGAGTCTATAAACAGTGTATGAGGAAACTCCCCATCTTTCTCCCATGAAGGTAGATACGAACTGCCTGCCTTTGAGTTGGCTGTGCAACTTCTGACCCACAATGTCACCAGAGCCACCACCTCTGTCCTTTCTATCTTGATCTTGTCTTCTCTACAATAAAGCTCCACAATATGCTATCCTTTCACTACCTGACTCCATTTACTCTTTAGTCTTGCTTGGTTTATTCTAAAACTGAACTAGGGCACAGAAAGCCAAGAGATATAGTTTATAAAGATTAAAAGAGAGATGTATACTTAGGTGCCATCTAGTCAGTTCCAACTCAGAGCAATCTATGCACAACAAAAGGAAGCTCGGCCCAACCCAATGCCATCTTCACAATCACTGCAATCACCATGTCAAGCCATCTCTTTGACAGTCTTTCCCTTTCTCAATGACCCATTACTTTTTCATGGGTGCTGTCCTTCTCCAGAGGCTGGCCTCTCCTGATAACATGCTCCAAGTATGTAAGATGAAGTCTCACCACCCGTGCTGCTAGCGGTCACTGTGGCTGTACTTCGAGACTGATTTGTTCATTTTACTGTCTACAGTACATATCACATTCTTCGCCAACAATACAATTCAAAAGCATCAATTTTCCTTCAGTATTCCTTTTCTATGTTCAGCTTTCACATGCATATGAAACAACTGAGAATATTAGAGCTTGAGCTAGGTGTATCTTTAATTTCTCATCAAATCAGTTCATCTTTTTATTTTAACCAAGGAGATAATTTCGTTTTTATAAATCTGTGTGTGCTTCTCCGTCTTTAAGCACAAGGAACTACATGTCTGAAATGCAACGAATCACATGAGCTTCTCCAAAAACACCTTCTGGAATTTACTGGTATCACTGTTACGCTTACAGAAATCTAAAGTTCCAATGTCGATGGAAACCCACAGAAGAGACACCCTCCGCCCTTCTGTTTACTAGAGTATTTATAACAAATAATTTAAAAAATTTGCTGCTGTTAGGTTGATCCTAACTCATAGCAACTCTAGAGGATAAAACAGAATTGTCCCATAGTGTTTCTAAGGTGATATATTTTTAAGGGAGCAGATTGCCACATTTTCCTCTCGCAGTATGGCTAGTATATTTGAAACAATAACTTTGTGGGTAGCCCCTCAGAGCTTCACCACTGTGCAATCAGAGCTTATTTAATTAATCATTCACAAAATGCTATTGTTTATAGAATAAAAGAGGCATGAAGTAAAACACATTATAATCAACAGAGAAAGCTTCAAATAGGACTTTTATTTTCTAGTAGAAAATAAACCAGTTGTGATATTAGATTTAGAGATATCACATCTTCTGTTTTACCTTCATCTGAAAGTAAAATACAAGCAAAAATCCTAGTAACCCAGGCATGGTGTATAAAAATCATCTCTGAATTATCAAGAACACATAGAAGCCTTACTATAACTGCCCAAAAGAATGAGGGGGGAAAAAGAGTAAAAACAGATTGGCACTTTGGTATATGAGAACATCTCTGGTGCCAGGCACAGAAGGAGGCAGGCTTTGGAGATTAAAGTCTGTTATTACACTGTGAGTAGAGGTCTAGTCCATGTTGAAGGGAATATTATTTAAAATAGCTGCAGATAAAGGAATAAAGTCATAGCTAAAAGGGTGAAGGCTTAATACTAGGGCTTAAGATGGCACTTCAAGGTTAGCAGATGGTCATTTCCCATCAAAACAGTAGAATCAAGAAATCCCATGAGTAACGAAGAAGACTTTAGGGATCATATTTAATCCAATTAGCCAAATCCTGTTCACTTCTAAGAGAGCTAGTATAGCTTGGAGAGGGTAGGCCCTCATCAGGATGGTTTAATGGGAGGGGAGGACACAGACATTAAAATAAACAATACAAAGCATTTATAAGAGGAATAATAATTATTTTAACAAAATGCTGGGTACACTCTAAAGGAAAGATATTAAAAGATGAATTATTTGAAGCCCTTCTGTTTATTTACTGAGCTTTATCTAACAAACTCAAGGATGATTATGCTACAACCTTATCTTAAAGTACCAATTACAGTTTAAAAAAAACCAAAAACAAAAACAAACACACAATAGGAAAGGAAAATGGTCAGGTTAAAGTTGCACCACTGTAAACAGAGTCTTGCCTCATAACCTGCCTGGGAAGTTTCTCAATCTCTGTATTAGTGCCACTTTGGAGGTGACTTTTTGTTGTGGGTGCAGTTCTCTGCATAGTAAAATGTATAGCAGCATTCCTGGTCCCAACATCAATCCAGAATTACTCCTTTAGATTTGGTACCTTTTAATCCAAAGGCCACTTTTCGTATTTTTAAACCTGATGCTTTCTCAAAACTCAAACGCTGCCATCAGGTGGTTTTGACTTAGAGTAACCCTTCAACGACGTACAGCAAACAAGAGGAGATTGTCCATTTTTACCCCCTTGAAGAGGCTAGTGGACTCAAACCACTGAAATTCCCTGCCTTTGGGTTAGAGCTATAACTTGCTAGGGATGACACCATCAGATATTTCTGATGATTATAGCACA